GAATGGGAATCGATCGGCTTCTTCCACTACGGAGTTGTTAGAGAATGCATATGCGACTAGAAAATGCACGAAATCGGAAAATTGTCGAGACCTATCAGCTGCCGCTGCCTTGTGCGTTCATTCCTTGCGTCAGAGTTTTCAACGTACGGCACCGTTTTGGGCGTGCCTAGATATCCGGTACTTTTACTTCGTAGTTGTTCAATACGCTAAGTCAGCAGCTGTGGCAGCGTTCAGACTTCGCAACGGCAGCGTTTCGGTCGCACGTTCACCGCGATCGATGCGCATGCTTTCGACTGCATCGATCGCGTCAAACGCGCGACCGAAGCGCTGCCGTCGCGAAGTATGAACGCAGCCATATCTCCATAGTCACTGAAAAGGCTAGCGTACGCTGCGTGCGCTCAAACACTGCCGTACCGTACCGTACGCTCAAGACGCTGACGCAAAGTATAAACGATTGTAGGACTTTAAACGAACTCCTACAATCTATAACGTTGACATTCACTTTGATTTCTTTCCTTTTGATCGATCAAAAGATAGGGTTTTCAACCTTGAGGCAACATTCATTTTATGTTGGTTTCCTCTGTGATTTTAAAAGCAATAATGATTCAGATTGAAGAAACATCTTAATGAAGTGTTTTGGGACCGCGATCGTCGCTGGGTTATCGTTTTCCCAGAAGGAGGATTCTACTATAAGCGTGTGGAAAGCAGTCAGCGGTATGTGCTGTTCTAAAGAAAACTTTTCCCCTCTCTTCTCTTCTCCTCTCCCTAAAAATGTCAGAGATATCCCTGTGTAAATTGCAGTTATGGAAAATTAAATGGGTTCCCCCATCTGAAATATACGACGCTTCCTAGAATGGGAGCAGTGAAAGCCATTCTGGAGGAGGTGAGATTCGCCACTTATTTTTCCTCTCTAACAATTTATGTGTGCTTGAAAGATGGCTAAATTTCTTTGCTGCTTCTTTTTTTTTCTTCTTCGTGTCTTTCTTTTCACCAAGTAATGTACACCAATTTGACATTCATATTGAAGCTAGGCCCGCGTGCTGAGGAGGCGGATGAACCGAGGGAGCGGAGCTTTAGCAAGTTGAAGCTTATCACCAATGCTGTTGGAGATATAGTTGGAGAGATAAGGGAGAAGAAATATGTGAAAGGTACGATACTTACCGTTTACAAAGAGATTTCCTATCCTGAAATATTGGAATTTTCATAGCATCATAGTAAAAAGCTTCAATAAAGGTACTCTACAAGGGAATGGTTTGAACTTCCCATGGAACTTTGAATGGAGACCTAGGTACATCGATAGAGCCTCGAATGCTGATTACGAATATGCAGATTAAAAGTGCTACGGGGACCTCCCAGACGAGATCTGGGTGGTCAAAGTTGCGAAAACTCAGTTTTGGCTCGTAAGCGCTGCTGATCGATCGCTGGGCAGTGCCACCGTGGCCTGGTGGTAACGGTCTCGCTTCAAAGCCAAGTACTCATGGGTTTGCATCCCGTTGGCGCGCAAACTTTTGCTTCGTCTTATATAAGAAGTTCAACACCAATTTCCGAACCTTCCGCGTTTACGGTCCAGCAGAGCAAGGAGATCAAGTATATGAGGTAATCGACTTATATGGATTTGGTCACTATTTGTTCTCTCTGGACTTTTTACCCATCCGACGATTCAAGGATTTGGACGAGAAATTCGTTTCTGGGGGTATTGACCCCTGAACACGAATATCACATCCATTTGACGCGAAAACGCGTAACTTTCACGTTCGTGGTCGCTGTGGTCATCAACTGATCTGGCCAAATTGTGATTCCAAAACTTCGAATTGTCGGATGGGTAATAAGTTCAGAGAGGGCAGATAGTGACCAAATCCATACTCGATCGAGTACGTCATATACTTGATCTACTTGATCTATTGCTCTGCTGGACCGTAAACTCGGAAGAATTCTGAAAATTAGAGTAAAAGCTCTCATAGGAAACGAAGCAAACAATTTGCGCGCCAACGGGATGCAAACCCATTCGGCTTCGAAGCAAGACAGTTACCATTAGGCCACAGCACCACTGCCTGACGATCGAACAGCAGCGCTTACGAGCCAAAACTGAGTTTTCGCTAACCACGATCTCTTCAGGGAGATCCCTGTAACACTTTTAATCTGCATATTCGTAATCAGCATTCGAGGCTCTATCGATCCACCTAGGTCTCCATTCAAAGTTCCACAGGAAGTTCAAACCATTCCCTTGTGAGAGAAATGTGAACTGCTCCTGTTCTTTGGCTACGGATGTTGGAGCGCGTCAGGAAGGGAGGGGGAGGCCATGTCTGGTGCTACACCAGTCCCTTCTCTACCTCTTCTGAACTGAAACAACAACAGCTGTTGGAGGACGGGCAAACCCAGCACCCTGACGCGCCCCAGCATTCGCAGCGAACAAGGCTACACATTACTCCCTCAAAATTCTATACATAACGATGCTAATATTCGTTGCTGTCATGCGATTAATGTTACTGCCTAACTAATGCTGACCAGTTACGGGTTTACTTCTAAATCTTTTACAAGAGCATCATAACATATATCTTCGTTCCGAGTTGTGGGATTATTAATTTACCAGTCGGATCGCCCGGCTGACGCCGAGCTCTCCTCCTTCTTTTTAGCTCGGCTTCGCCGAGCTGGCCTGGCTTCGCCAGGCGCACATCATGACGGGATGGAATTAGTTAATTGCATGAGCTGCTCATATTGCGCGGTAGTGGTCGAATCATAATAGACAGAGTAACCTAGCGAAATCTGCACCCCTCAGAGTTGCGGAAGGCGTGTGGTTTCGGCCATAACGCCCATTCTATACGTAGATCTCAGAAATAGATAGGAAGTACAGAATATCAATATGTGTTGCACAGTAGATGAACAAATTCCGTTTTTATTACCTGCATCACAACAGCAACGATGGGCAATTGACTTGTCATTAACATGCAATCCACCTGCTATGGTTGCATGAATGGCTGCAGATGACAATATGTTCATTGAATATCTTACAAACTACTTCGTTATACGTTCTCATCAGTGTTTAAAGTTGAAAAAAGCAAAAAATATTTGAATACTCACTGAACGCATAAAGTGTGTTCCAATATTGGAGTTTTTGATTTTTCCAAACTTCCTGTTTCAGGCGAAGTATATACCCCCCTAGTGGGATGAGTACATTTTCAGTGCTATCAGAGGAGTGATGGCTGTGGGAAAATTTCGCTTACTGAGAGGCTTTTTTGGCAGTGTAGTGGTCAGAGATGTCGTGAGATTGTCCCCTTATCTTTGCTTATCAATTGATAAAATTGCTTGTCACCCGTCATCAATGTCGCTATCACCAAAACTCCATAATTTCGCGTAGAGGCTCCAACATTTGATTGAACAACGACTGCATCTTTCTCTATCAGGCCTTATCAGCTGTTATCATTTCCTGTCACCCGCCGTCGCCTTCTCCTATCATTTGCTGAAATCAACGCCTATGATGCTGTGTCCCGCGTTATGAGTATGTTGTCCTTTCCACTCTAATTCCCCTTATCAGCAGCTAGCAGTTCTTGTCACCCACATATTCCTGTGCCGTAATATATCATACCTTAGAAAACGCCCCAGTATTCCAGTCGGACCGTCTCCTCTGCTTCCTTCCCTTGCGCATGCTCAGATGGGGCTGAGCACGCGCAGGGGAAGGAAGCAGAGGGGGGGGGGGCACTGGGCGTCCCCCCCCATCGGCCCCACCCCACCCTGCCCCCGCACGAGCACACGTCCAGCTGCCACGCCAGCAGCTCGTGCAATGGCTCGGAGTGTACCGAATGGTTGTCTTATATAGCGGAGGCCGATATCACGATCAAAACATTGGATTGATACTTCCGCACAATCGATTTCCGGTTTGCCTAGCGGTCGTTTCTCCTCCAGCGAACTCGAACCCGTGAAGCATTTTGCGGACGGACAGACATACATACATACATACATACATACTAAACATACAAACCGACACACAAAGTTACTGGTTTATAGATATGAAGGAATTTGAGGGTTTTCAGCTATATCCTCTTTTCTGCGAGGCTATAATTTAAATTACATTGTATGAGCTTGGGCATCCTTAAAGAAACCCTGCGTGTGCATTTTATGGGTAGTGGCGTTCAATAGCGAGCTTATGACCACTGAATCTCTGAGGAAGAAAAAAAAAGATGGACAACCCCCCTAAGTGAGGAACTGGAAGCCTCTCTAGACGAGTTCTCTGGACCTGCTCGCTTTAGCCACTAAAGCGATATCCTGCCGCCGCTGACTCGCTAATCGTTTCTTCGTGTCATCCAACGCTAATGGATCTTGAAAAAAGCAAAAAACACGAACACGTTCCGACCGCTGCACACCATAGTGTGCTTTACTTACATTTCTAGACGTAGTTTATGCTCCAAAGTTATCAGAACATTTTTAGACCGAGTGATGTATCTTACAGGAAAATAAAAGAAATAGATGAAATTACTGATTATCGATTGGAAAAGTAACGGAATAATGCGTAGATCCTCGCGCAGCGTCGGTACGGAATGTGTTAATTCTGAACTGGTGGCAATTAGAATGTCTTTGGATTTCGGTAGGTGGGATAGCTACGGAATCGGAATTTTTTTCGCTTGGAAAGGCTTGGCGCTCGCACAGCAGAGGCCGGTGCCACGACAGAGATCACCGACTTGGCCAAAAATTTGTCTCAGGGGTAGTCTAATTTACTGTACATTATAACAGCCGTTGCTAAAAGAAATGCCTGTCGCCCCGTCAGAGCAAACCCACGCGTGTGTCGCTAGCACCATAGATGGAATTCGTATAGAATTAATATCGTATTCGAACTCCGGTGATGCTGAAGCTACCTCAGGAAATAAATTGGTGGCCAGGAACAAAATTGCAATGGTGGGATGTAGTCAAGCCGAAATTCCAGAAAGAGCGGCATAGGATGGTAGTGTGGGAACTTGTTGCAGGCGTCATCAGGTCTCCAAATCGAATCATGGTCCATTGTCCCATTCTTGAATCTTCGGTTAGGCTAGTCCTAAGGGGTGTTGGAAAAGTGTGTGAATTAGTTGAAAGACACCGTTCGGGTTCGCTGTATGGGTGGAGTCAGGAAATGATGTCATTTACGAGCTTCCTCTTCTGATTTTCCACGAGGAAAGCGGCAAAGCCGCAAGGGTATGCCAATGAAATTAATATCTGACTTTGTACCATCGGCATTTTCGGATGACGTATCTGGCTGGAAATGGACATATCAATAAATTTCTTTTCAATGATTTATCAGAAGCAACCATCACATAAAAAACCACGATTTTCTATGAGGGGAGAATCCGTAAATCGTTGTGAAACATGACTCCACTACTGTAGTAATGACTTCGGCTTTACTCGTATTTTGAGGTCCTAATGGCAGGAAATGAGCTCCTATTGTACATGCGAAATTATTGCAGTACAAGTTGCGTCTGTGGGGATACTCCGTATTTGGTTTTGTGCGTGTCGAACAACTCCTGTAGCTTCGTCACGTATTGCCTGTGTAAATCGTCAATTTGTTCTTGAGTTGGATGCTCGGTCTTGGTGACTTTTATCGGCGCTCCCAGAACGGTGTTGATTGGTTTCCTGAAAAAGTTCTCAGGCGTTATTGGTTTGTCTATTGTACCTTGGGAATAAAGTCATTTAGTTGCTGATGCTGGGCGTGTCAGGGAATTGACACAGCGCCAAATCGTTTTCCACCAGTTGGTGCTTGGTCGCTTCACCAACTGAAGGAAAACTTGCTGCCGCCGCGCCAAACCCAGCTTCCCCCCCCCCCTCTCCCGACATCCAGCGTCTGCAGCGAAAACTTCTGTATCCCTCACCTGTACGGCAATAGGCCAAAGTTGTAATTGAAGATGCCTCGACCGTGGAAAACCGGTGGCGATATACCCACAAAATTCTTCAACGTGGTTTGGATCATCCGTATTGTGGATCCCTTTGGATTATCAGCCTGAAATAGGGTTAGAGTTGTTGACCGAGGTTACGATGCATGATGTGGATGGAACGGCCTGTGGTGCAGTGCAGAGGTTAACTTTAACAGGTTTTCAAGAAGAGAAGTCTGAATCCAGTATAAAAAAGTTCCGATGGAAAAATCAGACGGAGAACGCTGAGCACAGCCTCAGAGAATGTGCCATTAAGGGCGCAGTGCATGCTGTTCGGCAGGTGGAGGTAGTTGACCATAGCCCCTCACTTTGCTGTACCCCTCCTCTTCGCAACCTTTTAAGGGATTCATTACTGTGGATGGCTGTCTCCGCCCATACGCCGGCGTGGGCTGTGCTTCCAGCAAGCTAGCCCATCAAAATTCCTTTTCAATACTTTTGATGTTTCACTTTTTTCACTTTAATTTTCGTGATCCGAGCGTTAGCGTTACCATTTATCGCTTTGTGGTATCACCTATAGTACATTGTAGGTATACTTGTCAGTTGATTGGCACCCAGCAATATCGCTACGTACGTTTGCTTTGATGGCCTCCGAATGTCAGAATGAGTTTCTGTATTGGTATTAATTCGTACATTTCCCCCTCATCCGACTATAACTACAGTACAGACTGGTTCAAGCAGTTGGAATTGGAGACCATTAGCTCTGCTGTATGTTGACTCCAAAACCGGTTGGTTCTGAGGCTTTCATGAGCCTATCCTTCTCGGTAAAAGGGGAAGTTTTACGGCAACCGGGTTAGACTTCGAAATCAGAAAGTGTAGGGCTTTCCTGTGCTAACGTAGTAGTGGATGGTGACACTTAGCCGTGCCTCTGTGTTTCTTGCCCTGCCAACGATTTGGTTTGGACTGCAAGCGATCAGAGTCGCCGAATGATGGCTTGGCAGACCGGACACGTCCCACGCTGGGGATCTACGGAGAGGGTGTCTACCTTCGAGGTGAATATTTTCGGCTGTTGAATTTGCTATTTTTTTCCTGTTCCAAGTGCGCTATGTAGCTCCACCCAATCCTCCACGGCAGTTTCTTGCAGAGAAAGGAGAAAGTGAAAGACCTTGTCCGAAAAGTGGTACTAAGTTGGAAAAATTTAGGAAGGTAGTGGATAGGGTTAAGAACAGGGGCGAGGTCCTACCAGAGGAGAGAACTTCAAAAGGGTCCTGTTTTGCAGAACTTTTCCCTACTGGCAGGACTTGCTCGGTTTGCATAGGACACATTGTATCCACTACCAATAAGCCAAAGAAATGCTTTGGGTAGTGGCGCGGGACGCTATCAAGGGCTCTCTCACCTAAATTCTCTCGAAATCTTTGAGATGCGGTAGGCGTGGCTGCGTACTTCAACTGAACGTAACGGTGGCTGTGCTTTTGGTAAGATATTTTCTTTTTTGGGACATATGGTCATGCCTTTGTCTGCCACAGAACAAGATGACAGCTGCTCAAGTTGGAATATCTCACGAGTAACCCTATCTAGGCAATGTCCAGTTGCCTTACCTACTCCGTCCCACGGGTAACGAATGTAGGTTGGTGCCGACTTTCCTGTAATTTTCCTTCCAGATTTTTTTGAACAATGATAGAAATTTTCCCCAGACACATCTAGCGCTCGCGATAGGCTCGATTCGTAAACGGGATGTCTTTCAATTTCTACGGGAAAACCTGTAAAAGCATAGTAATGGGGCAGGGTACGCCATCGTTGTGATCATCACATCACAAGGGGGGTCGTATTTGACCGCGAGGGAGGGGGGTCGTATTTGGTCAGAGAAAATTTTTGATAGTTGATTTCTCTTGTTTCACGGACGCTGTAAAGGGGGGGGGGTCGTACTTGGTCATTTTTGGGAGGGGGGGTCGTATTTGGTCAGTTCACGGACGCACTACTATTTCCGACACTTGAAAATGATAGTTTAATTCTGACGACCTCCTCCCTCCCCCCCCCCGCTCGAAGG